AAAGTTGGAGATAACTTTGTAAGCATCGTTTGTAACTTCTCCATGGGACCCTAACGCTTGTACCCATTTGAATAACGAAACTTGGCGAAAAAGAAGGAACAGATTACGAATTAGCAACCTACTTTCAAGAATGTTAATTGTTTGCTATACAGATAATTTACATACTGTTTGCATTTTACATTTGTAGACCTAGATAACCAAAATGTTTCTGCATTAATTCTGATGGGTATGTTCTTCTGATGTTTGGAAACATTTCCCCAAAATTCAATAATGTATTATGATTTTTTAATTAAAGGATAATTTTAATTTAACTGCCTACTTCTTTTATAAGCATTTCAAGTTCTGACTTTTGGGCTCGTTCGATCCGGTATACCTCAAGGATCTGTTCTCGGGCCTCTACTTTATTCAATCTACACATCGTTTCTTTATACATCTTTAACGACTTGTATCTAACATTTATGCAGACGATGCGCAGTTATTATATTCTTTTTCTAAAGATCAAATAGATACCAATGTAGATCTAATTAATATGGATTTAGTAATTCTAGTCCATAACTTTTGATTGAGAAGTCCGATCGAAAAAGTACGAATCGTTTTAGATTCTACGCACCAAAATTAATAAGAAAAAGTGTTTTCCCGAGAAATTTTGGTGTAGTCGATTTTTGGTAAAAAAGGAAGGTTATACACTGCCTTTTTTAGAGCCCCGAAAAAAAATTGTCTCAGATCGACCCGGAAAAAAATGTCCTTATAGAATGTGGCCTGTAGAATCCATAATTTCAAACAGTTCCAAGATTGGGCTACTAGTTCAAAAGTAGTTAGCTAACACTCCGCCCACTATAAAATGAAGGCAATTAAAAAAAAAACAAGATAATATTTACACACCGTCGATTCAGTGGCTTGCAAAAGGAGAAGAAAAGATGGCATCTGAAAAATCCAAATGAAAAGCGTATAATAAAGAGTATGAAAAGTTATTGGCGTGGATGAACATATGTAGCATCTTTCAAATGGTCTTAAATGCATCGTTAATTCTGACATCAGTGCCGGATTAACCATGAGGCGCACGCCTGTGCGCCTCAGGGCCCGGCCATGTTTAGGGGCCCGGCGATCGAGCCAGCTCACCATTATGTTATGTATGATAACGTGAATTCTAGGTAGAGTAGCCATAGGCCCATAGGCGTAGACCGCGTAGAGGCGGAATACCGTCCGTTGTTTTTGTTTGCTTCATTATTATACAGGCCACAGGGTTGTTATTAATGATTCATCGCTTTCAAAACGTTATATTTTTATATTTACTTACAATAAAATCAATTACACATAAAAAGAAGCAGAAGCAGAAATGAAAAAATGAAAAATATTTGTCACGCTACTATACTGTTTGTTGAGAATATTATTACCTTATTTTATATTTATTTTGAATATGTTTGGTTTTATTTTAATCTTTAGTTTCAAATATTATTTTTTTATGTTGCATTAGGTGCTCCTAGATTAAAAAAAACAATAAATGATTTTTTATTTGTGTATCGTTCTTTAATGATATGAGGGGGCCCCAAACTGGTGTAGCGCCTCAGGCCCGTAAGTGTCTTAATCCGGCACTGTCTGACATATATAAAGGAAATGTCTCAAGTATTTAAATCTTCGACCCTTTGGTGCATTCATTCAAAACTTCAATCAATACCTACTGCGAATATCTAGTCTTCCAACAAAGGATACGAGCCAAAGGCATCTTAGTATTTGCAGAAAGCGATCTGAGATGATTTTTATTTCAGTTCCAGATGATAGTTTCATATGCCATATTTGAAGTAAGGTTACTTGGCAACCTTTAAAGCTCGGTGTGCTTTAATCGCCTACTATGTTATTATGGTCTCATAATTGACTTGTTTTCAGGTGTATTTCAATACCTTTTATTTTATAGCATAATTATGTTAAAATGACATTTTTAATAGGTTTGAATGAGTAGGCTACGCCGTTCTTTAACTGTAAGGATAGATAAAGTGATCACTTTAACCGTAAGGGTAGATAAAGTGAAACAAATAACTGTACATTTTAATGACATCTGTCAATCTGTTGTCAAATGCACGATAAAAAATGACGTTCAGAACATATAACAATGCTATTTCTATGGAAACCATCGCCACGGCAGAACCTAAGCTTGTCATTTTTGACGTCTCTAAATTAAATTCAGAATTGTCAAAAGCGTTACAATGATTTATAATATAATAAGTGACATTTATTAGATTACTGGAAGTACAGAAGGAAATAAACATAAAATAAACATTCAAATAGATAATAAACTAAATAATTAAAATTAAATGAAAAATGAAATTAATGTTCCGTAATCTAACGGGGCGAAGTTCAGTTCTGTGGTGAGACACCCTAGAACTGCTCTACCACTTAACCCCATCCTAAACTAAGAAAATAAAACAATTAGTGGAATGAACTTAAAAATATGTATATTGAAAGGGAGAGAGATAAATAAATCCGTCGTGGTTCTAAATAAAGAAGAAGAAAAGGGGAAGAAAAATAATCATTTGTTTTGCTCGCGTAGAAGTAAATGAAAATAATTTCGTTTAAATGCGCCTTTTTCTTTTCTTTTTATATACTCGGGAATATTGTTATATACACTTGCTATGTTGTATGAAAAAGATCGCTTAAACATTTGCGTTTTATGTAGTGGAGGGGTAATTAATTTGTAATGTCGACTACTAGAACTGAATTTAATGTTTTCATACAGGTAGGTAGGCATCTTAGTAGAGATGATTTTATGAAATAAGGATGCAGAATGTAATAATCTCCTTTTCGACATATTGAGCCAATCAATTTCTTTCAACTTGTGAGAGATGTGTTCATGCTTCCTTATTCCAAAAATCAGACGAAGGCATGAGTTCTGCATTTTCTGAATTTTATGTATTTCTGTGTTTTTCAAACAAGGACCATAGATTTGGTCACAGTAGTATAAACTGCGAAAGAACTAATGTTTCACACAGCATTGCCCTCACTTTACGATTAAGAAACTGTCGATGACCAAATATTAGTTTTAGGTTTATGTATGCTTTCCGGCAAGCTTCCGAGATGTGTCTTTCAAATCGCAAATCAGTATCCCAAGTTTTTAGCACACTCTTTTATTTTTATTATTGAGTTTTGGGTTTTAATCGATATGCAGTTCTTGACTAACTCTCTATCTTTTTTTGGACCGAACAACATAACAGAACACTTAGAAGTGTTAATTTTCAAACCGTGGAGTTCTGATATTTCTACAAGGTAGTCAATATCAGAGCTCATATTATCATTTGCTTGAGCAACATCAGATGCGTGGAAACTGTACAACAATTGTGTGTCATCTGCATATTGATACGCTGATAGATGTTTGAGCGCGAATTGAAATTTGGAAGTGTACAGTGAAAATAAGATCGGACCAAGAACTGAGCCTTGCGGTACCCCAGATGTAGTGAACAGTTGATGTGAAACATTTTTCTTTTTGACAACTTGCTGCCTACGGTTTGTAAGGTAACTACGTAATAAAGAGCAAGCTTTGTCGCCAAATCCGGTTCGGTGTAATACATCTACAAGAATGTTATGGTTTAAAGTGTCGAATGCCTTCGAATAATCTAACAATATTAATGCTGTCAATTTACCTTGATCGGTAGATTTGATGATATCATTTGTTATGCTAAGCAACGATGTAACACAACTATGCCCAGGTCTAAACCCCGACTGTGTCACAGGCAAAGCATTGAAATTGGACACATGCGTATTTATTTGTTCAGTAAGAATTTTGACTTTTGACAAAACCGGTAAGATGCTTATGGGTCGCAAATCACTAAAGCTTACAGGGTGTTTTATTTTAGGCAAGGGAGTGATATTTGCAAGCTTCCAAGCTTCCGGAAATATGCCGGACACCATACAACTATTAAACAAGAACACAAGGTGTGGCAGAATGAGTGGACAACAAATAATGAGCATCTTAAGACTAATACCATCAGATCCAATACATTTTGATTTAATTTTCATAAGATGATGTAATACGATGCCTTCATCAATACCAAAAAATTCCAATTTGTTATCAATTGAGCTGGTCGGTGTATTATTATAGAAATTTGAAAGTTTTTCCAGTTCAACTGTGCAACTAGCATTACAAATTTTGGCTTTGTATGGCTTCTGCTATAAAATAAAGTTTTGTATTATACACGACGATAAAGGGAAACTAACCATCTCGTGAAAATTAATTCAGTTAATTAACATCTTTCACTCAGTCCCTTTATCGTCTTGTATAATATGTAAATATCTAGTAACGCCCAAGGGAATTATCATAATTCCCAAGGGCGTTATTCGGCATATAGGTCAAAACTATGCAAAGTTTGAACTAAATCTGTCCAAGCGCTTGACGGTTATCGTGTTCACGGACAGACGGACACCATCGGCAATAAATTAGTAGAAAATCGGTTTTTTATCTCTTGATCTACTATCCCGCTGATTAAAATGTTGTTCCTAGCTCATTGTAATCTATTATTAGGAAATAATTGCAATACATGTCATTATTCCATCTTGTGTACTTATAGTCGTATTATAATATTGTATCGTGCAGTTATTGTACCCACCCGAATAAGAGAGGTCTCCAGTTTTTACCTGTAATAGCGTATATGCGTTAATCACCTCCGGTAAAAGAAGGCTTAATTGATATAATGTGACAGAATATATGGTACCTAGATAGGTCGCCCTAATGTTATCATCTTGTATAGGTACCTACTTGTACCTATCGAAAATTAATCGCAATTAATTAGATAAAAATATTAACATTCAGCATGATTAGGATATCGGTGACTAATAAAGTGCAATTCATTTTCCATTACCAGAAACAATAGTGTTAAATTATGAAATTTGCATTTTCTAATTATTGCTATATTAAACGTTAATTACATTCAGTGGCCTTACACACTTTTACATAGTAATTAATCTTACAAATATTTGTAACAATTTTCCTCTACCTCCAAAATTTCAGATTAGTAGGTAGGTACCAGTTATCGCACGATGATTGTTTGAGAGCACTCCAGTCCAGAGTATTTAAAGCTTGAGAGCATATTTGAGTTTTACTTCTGTTGACATTTTTCCGCCAAACGTTGACGTTGCAACATACAGTGATAATGAATTTACTCTTTTCTGTTACTTTTTTGATTGGTGTTTTCCATGTAAGTTTACCATGTTCATTATTACACATAGTAGGTACCTATTGGTTTGCGAGACTGTTTAAGGATGGTTATAGTTTCGATTTGATGTGTTATTTTGAATCACCCGAAAAACAGTTTTAGCAACTATGGATAGATTAGATACGATAAGGTTAACAGAGTTTATTGTAGTTTACGTAAAATTTGTTTAAACTATTACTTCACCAGTGTACCTAAAAAATGTTTTTAATGAAAATTGTGCTTTTTGAAACACTCCCATCACCACCACTACACTATAGGTCTCCTAACAACAAATTTATCTGACTTTCATCCGTTTATAATTTTCAATAACACAAAATTTAGGTACGACCCATTATCCATGGAACAAACGATGTGTTTCTTGCACTCTTATGGGTAAAACCATTGAATAAGTATTTTATTCAATGGGTAAAACGGATAATCGAAATTTAAAGCTGTGACAACAGGAATAATGAACACTATCCTAATTCTGACGTTTTTGTTACAGGTTTCGTGCGAAAAGCTTCAGGTGTCCGTTTATTACGAATCACTTTGTCCTGACAGTATCCGGTTCATTACTAAACAGCTCCAACCGGCTTACAAACTGATCGGGTCCAATTTAGAAGTGGATCTCGTACCTTACGGAAAAGCATCGGTAAGAAGTGCATCAATTTCGATCAATGGTGTTGCTCAATTCAAATAAGAATGTTGCTGCTCTGTCTGTATACCAAAAGTGAAAACAAATTTCTTGCAGCAATATCAACAAAGCGGCAAATGGGTCTTCAAATGTCAACACGGTCCGTCGGAATGTCGGGGTAACATGTTGCAAGCGTGCGGTTTAGCTACAGATAAAAGTCAGGATCAAAAAGTCGACTTCGTGTATTGCGTCATGAAACAATGGAATCCCAGTGGCGATCAAGCAATCGAACAGGTAAACCCATTGCAAACCATTGTAAACCTCACATTCTGACGAGATGTTTGTAGTGTTCTGGAAAATTGGGACTAAAGAGCGATGCGATTTTCCAATGTGCCAACAGTGCACAAGGTAGTGATCTTTTGGCAAAGAATGGAAAACAAACGCACGCAGTAAAGCCAAAGATTACTTTCATACCGACTATTGTGTTTAATGGCGTATACAGTTCTGCGAACCAAAGCGGCGCGTTGAGAAATTTCTTACAGACGGCCTGTGATCAATTCACCGACAAACCCAAGGGATGCAACGCGTGATTACCATTAATATTAGGCATTAAGTTAAGGTATCATTAGAAAAATCTGCTGTACCTATTCAATTTGAATTATATGCCTTTAATCAAACTGGATTTGTCGACAATAAATCAACAAAAACATGGTTGTTTGGACGTGTATACCAAGTTTGAAACTCTAAAAGTTGTGGAAAAAGCGTACCACAAGAAAAACCGTGAAATTTTCGGACTTTTTTCAGTGTTATCTCTATATCTCCTAAACTATGCATTTTTCGATGAACGACATATACGTTTTTGAAGAGCATTAAACGTATGACACTTTAGACATGGAGGTCTGTAGGCCAATGAATTACCACATTACGGCACTTTGAGAATAGACAATCTTTTTTCCAAAGTGTGAACAATAATAATATTCATAGATGGATACTTAACAATACTAATTTATCGGTAATCACGCAAACCGTTATCTAAAAGTATTCAGACTCCGACTCCCATTAATAATTGAAATCTGAAAATGTGCATACTAACATAGTTTTCCATGATCTATCGAAAGAAAATATTACGTATCATCATTGTGTCACTTCCAGTTTTAACGGCTGTGGATAGCTTTTAAATAGAACACCCTATATTGTATTTCCGGCATCTACATGAAGATCTACGTCGTTTGATACCACATTTCCCTATACCCATCATCAAAGGTTTTCAAGCCATTCAAGATTTTTCAAAGTTTCTGTTTAAATCATTATAAGGTTAGGGGTTGATATTATTGATATTTTATGTGATTCTAACAATCTATGTAATAGCACATTATATACCAAGGTAGAGAAGTCTAGTATTATTGCCTAAGCACGAAGATTACACCCTGAGGCGCTTGCGCCGAGGGATGTAAGGTGCGTAATAGACTTCTCTATCGTGGTGTCTTAAATTGGCAAAGTTTACATGTAGTCTTTGATGTTGATGCATATTCCGATGCGATATTTTGAAAAAAATAATTCGTTTGGTAGTAGATAATTGGGAAAATGTGAAAATCCTTTCAAATAAAAGTTGCAAGATTCGATCGGATAAATTCAAGGGATATTCAATAGAATTTTTTTTTAAAATGGCGATTATCGAGATATTGGCATCAACTTCCTTGTTTTGAATGGACGCCATATTGGATTTTTAAGTCACTCCATAGAGAAAAAATTACAAAACCAGTGATACTAAACACTTAGTATTTCATTTGGGAATCAACCTTGCATTTTTGCCTCGAAGTTTACAATGTATTTCTTATGGCAATAATTCCATGACCGATTGTGATTGAAACCAAATTCGTTCGTTAGTTGTCTCGCTAGCTGGTTTTGTATTTTTGTTTCTATCGAGTGATGTAAAAGTCAAATATGGCGTCCATTTAAAATAAGGAAGTTGATGTCAATATCTGGAAATCCGGCATTTTGAAATTTTTTTCTACACTCATTGAATTTATCCCATCGAATCTTGCAACTTTTATTTGAAAGTATAATAATAACAAAGATGGCCATGTAAGGTATCTACTCAATTTAAGACATCCTGTATACTACTATAGTAACGGGCGATCAAAAATGAGTTACTATCGAATCGCCTTTGGAAATTCAAGTTAAGTACGATTTACCATGTAAACAAAAATTCCAAAGGCGACTCGACAGCAACTCATTTTAGTACTTGAAGTCCTCTAAATTAACAGATCTATATTGTTAAAAATGATCAAAGTCCTCGTGTGAGATCGAAGGGACTTCAGCGCATTTTTGTGTGGCAGATCAGTGTTTTATTAGCCAATATTGACTCCACCATCAATAAGATCTTGCCGAAAGCTACCACGTTCACTTTGTCGGTACCATTTTCTCACTTACCGTGCACTCGCAATTCGCGTTTGAAGTTTTGACTCCACCATCAGTAAAATCCTTTGGGGGTTACCATATTCCCTTTGTCGACACCCACTTCTGATCACCCGCAACAATTCGGATTTGAAGTTTCGACTCCACCATCAGTAAGATCTCGTCGGGGGTTACCACATTCCCTTTGTCGATACACAGTTCCGACGTCCCGTTCATTCGTAATTCACATTTTGGTAGATTTCGCTAAAATCCCGGCATAAAATCGTATTCAACTTTTGGGTACTTCACATAGCTCGACCTTCTATTAGTGACACGAGAAAGAGAGACCGCGATTCGCGCTGTAAGAAACTTTTGGGCGCCCAAAGTCGACTACCCCTCGAAGCGCGCCGCGCAAAAGGTGGTTTATTTCGCCCCTAGGAAAAAAAAACAAAATTCCGCCACGCAGGAGTTGTGCGCGTTGACAAGATCTTCCCGACGACACCAATTTGAAAACAATCGGAGAAAAACTGTAGAAGAAGATAGATAAAAACTGAAAAATCTCCAGGTTAGTATAATACGCTCGGGGATGGCGTCCAGATGTCGTCGACTCCAAATCTTGTAGCCCCATCCCTAACGTTCTTAATTACACGGCCCCGATAGTTACATGTACACTGCTTGTCTTTTTACAAGCGTTTTCTACGGGCGCGCATTTACTGCCAGCCAGCCGACCAGCCAGCCAGCCAGCCAAAGTGAGATTAAAAGCTACTTTTTACAAAAAAAATTTTTTGCAAAAATGCGCTAAAAATGTGAACGGTTGAACAGAATTTTTGATTTATTAATTTAATATGTCAATTACGTGGGTGGAAGTAACAGTCAAGAAGGCCGTATTTTCTTGTGTTATTGAGATATTTTCAAAGAATAGTTTCGTTCGAATTTTTTCAAAATGTGATAATTGTATGTAATTTATTCTCTTGAAATGGCGGATGGTGGCAATTATTCATTTTAGAGAACTTATCTGAACGTTTATTGAGCGAAATTTCAGGTTGTGATTTGTAAAAGTGACAGCGTGACAGTTCTCATTATTGACTACTGGTTAATAATGATCACATTATTAACTACTTTGAACAACTGGCGAGAAAGCCTGCTTTACAAGTGGAAAAAATCATGATATCAAGTGAAAAAATAGGTTTTGATTTTAGGTATCTATATAGATAATCACAATCATAGGTGTTGACTTTTTTGGAACGAGGCGGGATTTATGCACTCATAAATAACTGCCTTATTACTTTTAAGTGTTTACCAGATTTTACCTCTCCGGTCACCTTCTGTCACATTACGCATCTTATGAACAAATGAGTACTTCCTCGTTACTTCCCATATACTTCCTCATAACTTCCTCCATTCTGTACAATTACTTCCCCTGGTGTTTACCCCCTGGTAAAATCTCATTTTCTTTTGTTTTTTGGTATGGCAAAATTCCATGGCATCACAGACTATTGAAAAAGATGGGGGTTTTATTTTTCCAATTTTCCGTCTTTATTATGCAAAAATTTGAAAACTAATACGGTTGACTGACGTAAAAAATTTTTTTCTACAAAAAACCTTAATACATTTTTGCCCCAAAATAATTTGAGGAGCCAATAATCGCATGTTATGAATTTTACATTGAAATACCTATGATGCGTTACACAAGTCACCATCCCTGTGTATTTTTTAGTTGTTCCGATGTTTAACCTCTGCATGGAAACTTATTCAATTTTTGATTTTTTGTTAATGTACCAAGTTATTAATTTTTTTCGAATAATTGCCCTAAGCAAACCTCACTTTGATCAATCCTAGCGACCTTGATTTTAAAGTTAAGAATTTTGGTAATGAGAAAGTTGGATTTAGTGATACGGAGTGTCACAAAAAAATAGTAATTCCCACATTTCAGCGTCATAACTTTTTTTTTCACTATTTTATTTTTCTATTCGATAGTCTTTCGTGTGCTTTCACTTTTTGTAGGTGGTGTCCTATGCCTAAACCTCGTTGTTTTTAGCTATTCAATATTTTTCACAAAAACACATAATTAATTGCATGTTTATAAATCAGCGTAGACGTAGACCATGATAATAAAAAACAAAAGAATGCCAGAAAGTAAGCAAGTGTCTTAAATGAACCATATGAACAATAAGATTAATTAAAAATGCGAATTTCGAAAAAGATGAAATAGTCTTTTTAAATAATTTTATTTTACTACGAAATAAGGAGTAGGTACACTTGCAGCAAATCATAAATTTATGGCACTGGTTTGATGTCTGACATTCAACATCTTGGTGTCAAGAACACCGATCAGCATCAGATGACATTAGATCAAAAAAGTATTCCTTCAGCTTCACCTTCTCCGTTGGCAGATAGTGGACGAAAATTCCTTGTGGAAATGTTATAAAAATTTACCCTTACCGTAATTTACCGGTACACCACTCAAAACAACCAAATACGTAACAGTTTAGTAGTAAAAATATGATTGGGATAGTTTACCTACTTCAACGGCGAACGCGTTATCTCTAATGGACACACATGTTAAGTATTTTTGTAAAGAATACACATTTACGATGAGGTTTTAATTTAATCATATGATTATGATCAATAATTAAGTTTTTTGGGTTTTTACGTCACCTCATGAGCGATCAAAATGCAGAATGATTCATCATGAGTCATGGTGCTGCGGTCAGGGTATTAGGAACCCGGAATGCTGACTCAAAAAACCAAATGTATTTAAATAAGGAATGCCCTGATTAAATAAAAGTAAAAACTCACCCTTAGCATGATTAATTCAAGGGAAGAACCATTACTTTTACCACTGGAACGACGTTAACAAGCACCGCCGCCGTCAAACTTTCTCCACTTACTGGACGGTAAATCGTTAGGTGAAGCGATAACAGGTAGAAAGGTCACCGTCGACGCGCGTTCCTTATCTTTAGTCATTGAAAAGTTACATCTTTTTAAATAAATAGTCGTTGTTGACCGGGTGTTTTCGGGATTGGTAGATTTTGAAGTAATTTACTTCAAAAAAGAACCACCCAATCCATCATTTTTAGCGGATTTCCATAAAAATAAAAAATACGCTATTGTGACCACTTTGTCCGTCCGTCTGTCCGGTCGCTATTAGATCTGTTATTATATTAAGAGCTATCGTTTTACTTTTTTCGGTATTTGGTTCGTTATGGTGTCGACGCTTGCACCAATGAAGGAATTTTTTCTGCGTTTATTACTAAAAAAGTTATAGTTAAAAATCAATTTTTTCATGTACCATAATTTTACACTTTTGCC